TGACATGCTTCTTTCTTCTTCTTCCACCTCACACAAAGGCCTTGAAGACTTTTTTCTCCCACTAGCAGGGCTCCCTTTTCTAGCTAAGGGGTCCAGACCAGTTAAATAAGACCAAGGCAGGACTTGGACACAGTTTACTGAGCTTGGAGCTGGGACATACGGGCTCTATATGCCTTGCTGAAGTTGACCAATCCAAAATTAAGGGAGGGGACCTGCTGTATAACACTGAACATACTTAGAAGACACAGGCCTTTTGATTTTTCTGTCCCCTCCCCGCTCTCCATGGAGAGCTTTTTTCTCTGTGCATGTATATGTGTGCATTTCTTTATTTTTTAATAAAGTATGCTTTTTAATTCTTTAATTGGCAGAGAAAATGAATCTAACCAAGACCCCTAGAGAGCAACAATGATGAAATAACGATTCTGCTGCTGAAGGGTAGGGCTGGGTGTGAGACTTCTTAAAAGCTCTCACATGACACCATTAAGAAGACTCAAAGTGCGATTTCTGGGCCAGAAGCACTGGCTTCTCCTAGGACCATGTTTAATACTGCAGGATCTTGGTGTCACAGAATCTTGATTTCAATATGAAATAGCATTTTCATTTTCACACGACTATTAGAAATTTATATAATAGCTGTTGGAGAGGTGGCTCAGTGGTTAAGAGCATTGGCTGCTCTTGCAGAGGACCTGGGTTTGGTTCCCAGTACCCCCATGGCAACTAACAACCATCTGTAACTCCAGTACCAGGGTATCTGACACCCTCTTCTGAGCTGTGATGGCATTCCACAACATGGGTGCACTTACATATATACACGAAATACACTCATACATATAAAACAAAAATAATTAATAAAATTTATAAAAGAAATTTGTATAATAATAAACTTTGAGAGGGATTGCTCAGAAGTACTGATTCACTTTAGTTGCACTGTAAAATTACTCAGGAAGCTTGTATGTAGCCCATTACCCAGTCTTTACCTCATAGCAACTACATCAGGTTATCTGTGGGTAAAGTGTAGGCATTAGCTTCTATGAAAACTCTGTGATTTGATGCACAGTAAAGGCTATAAAGCACTAGCTAATACTACTATTTCACAACCTAAGGGCTAACATAATCAGTTCCTAGGGTTTCCTCAAGAAGCTCTCTAGATTCTTGTAGGCTCACACAGGAAGATCAGTGGTTGGGTAATCTGACATATCATCTGGTTACATTCATGGACCACATCCTTCATATTACTCAAGAAAAAGTCATCTGAGGCCATCCTGCTGTGACTTCATGATCCATAATGTGATTGCCACAAGATGAGCTTTAATTCGTGCAAACATGAATGTTTATCTTATACATTTACACAGTTACAACTTGCTGAATATTCTTTGTTTCAGGTAGGTACAGCTAGAGATGTGTGGGTTGTGTCTGAGCAGGTATCACCACTATTAGACCTACAGTGAAGACAGTTGCAACTGCGAAGTTTTGTACCAAGCTGGTGTGACCAGCCAGGCATCCGGTGTCACAGAAGTTGATACCAGGACCACTGCAACTTGAGCAATGTGGAGCTGCGGAGTGTGCCGTATTTGAAGTTAGACTGTTACATTGTTGGTTTACATAGCAATGTGCAGAGGTGTTTGTGATTCAATTCTAAAATTGCTTTTGTTAAAAAGACAAAGAAAGCATCAGTAATATCTTCAAGAGAAACTTGTAGAGAATACTCAGAAAAAGAGCAAAATGAACATTAAGAAAAATGTTTGAGTCTGTGTCTTTCTGTAGTGTCCTTTCCCTCGTTGGAGTCCACTGACTCTGGCAGTGGAGTGGACCAAGAGCGCTGGGCGTGTGCTGTCATCATAGAGTTTTGATTGGAATTTCCTATTCTTTTTGTTTAGTTAGTACTCAAGTGAAGCAGATGACAGGAATTATCAGAAGCTTTATGCTTTGGAATCAATCTCAGAGTATTTGTATAAGAAATCAAAACCAGGAAAAAGCAAAGAGGTTTTAAATTTAGGGCAATATTTCAGTTTGAGTGGAGAGGTCAGAAAATAGTAGGAAAATTAAGAAAAAGGAAAAAAAGGTGGAGGTAAAATTGGAAATGAAAGCATCCATTTATTCTGTTTTTTGACTCAGGGTCTCACTATGCAGCATTAGCTAGCCTAGACCTTGATATGTAGACCAGGCTTGCCTTGAAGTCACAGAGAGTCCCCTGCCTCTGCCTCCTCAGTGCTAAGATTAAAGGCATGTGCCACCATGCCTCATCCCCATTTGTGCTTTTTGAGATAAACACAATTGTCCCTCTCCTCTGCAACTTCAGGAATATGTCTGCTTTCTAATGCCACTTTGTGTATGGCTGGTTTGTCTTATGGGGCAATGTGTTCTGCAGCACTAGTGACAAACTTGTAGAATACAAAAATGTTCATTTTTGCTAAAAAGAAACTTAGGTTGTGGGAAAATAGCCTATTCCATACTTTGAGCACGACTTTTCAAGATGTGCTTCAGACAGATTATTAACATGAAAAAGATACTGACAGAAATATGGGTCATTAAAGATATAAAGAGCCAGGCTATAGATAGGATTGGGAAGACTAAGTTACATAACAAGAATGCAGTTATTAATAATTATGACCCTTTACTCTAAAAGACTCTAAATTTCTAAAGGGGCTCAAATGGGACAAATCAAAGGTATGCCATAAACAAGTATAGCTTCCAAGGAGTGTCGATTGAGTCTCTTCTGCCTGGTAGAGATCAGAGTGGAAACCATTTATTTTTATAAAGAAATGTGTGGATCTCTGTGAGTTCAAGGCCAGTCTGGTCTACATAGTGAGTTCCAGGACAGCTGGGGCTACAGGGAGACCCTGTCTCAAAAAGACCAAAAAAATGTGAATTATTGAATTATTTAATGTCATGCCTTCTTTCTGTGGTCAAACATTTTTTGTAACAGTGGAGAGACACATGTACAGGTGGATATATGCTGCCCACAGTGTGTTATTCAAGACAGAATGAATTGCCCATTCCTCTAGTTGCTGCCTGCATTAGGGATTTATAGCTCTCTAAGTACCACCTGTGCCTGAAGGGATCTTCCTTCCTCCACCAAGGTTTCTGGTGGCAGCTCCCATCCATGTGAATGTATGAAGGAACAGCATGCTTTCTTCAGTTCAGCATGTCTCTGCAGGACTCTCCCTTCCAAGGAGCACCCAGACAGACCGAGGCCTTAATTGGGTCTCTCATCATCACCACCAACACTGTCAGTGTAGGAATATTCTGCTCTCACGACTGTGACGTCATCTGCCTAAGCAAAATCTCTGGACCACCTCGTATCACATGCTCCCTTCTTAAAGAATCTTCGCCCTTGGCTTAGCTCACTCTTGCCTTACTACTTGCTCTTCAACCTTTAGAACTTGATTTAACTAGAAAGTTAAATTCATCCTGGGAGCCTTCATTGAGCACCAGGTTCAGGTTACGCACTTTTCAAAGCTCTTCTAATATCCTCTATTTTGTTCTCCGGTGCCTGTTATCAAATTATTTTTTGTAGTTAGCTCTTCAAAGACTAGGACTATGTCTGTCTTGATAGTCTTGTATTCTTAGGCTGTAGCCCAGTACCTGTCACAAAATACATGCTCTAAAGAAATTTGACTTGACTAATGAGATACACTTTAGCACATGCAGTACCCTTTTTTAGAGAACCATCCTTTACATCTTATTTGGCAAATTCTTGCTAACCATTTAAGCCCTAGGATCACGGCTTCCTAAATCTTTATGGGAATCACCAGACATATCCCTGTGACCCACATCACTTTCTTCCCTAGCAATCACTTCTTAGAGTAAGAATTGCTAGTGAGTCCTTTTGCACACCAGACTTTAAATTCTCTGATAGCAACATCTGTCTTTTCTATGAAGATTAGTAACTATCTCAAGAAAGAAGCTTACTTGCAAAAAGTAAGAGAAAATGTAATAATGAAGCTGGATCTGAGTTTTTTCTGAAGTTATACTTGGCTTAAAGAAATTCCAGAAAAAATATCCCATTCAAATTGTTTATAGTATATAAGTATAATGAGTATTTATTTTATCACTGCTTATCACTGCTTAGTACTGTTTGCTGAGTCATAGGATTTGTGGTTCTCTTGGTATGTTGAAGCTCATGCCTTATCTATGTTCTTTGCTTGGATGTGTTCAAAGCTCCATAACACAGCGCATACTTCCTGGTATTCACAGTATTCCAAAGTGACTTTTAAAGATGAAAGAGATTAATGGCACCATAAATTCTTTCACTCAGTTTGCAAAACGTTTTAACACCATGCAGGATATTGGCAGAAATCTGAACATAAGGGTGTTCTCTAGCTCAGTACTGAAGGAAGGTGATATAGACATTTACAAGCTAACTGTAAAAAGTAGCAAGGTAGGTGCTCCAAACTAAATGGTTGTACACCCATGAGACATTTGGCAATGTCTGGAGGAGCTCTTCAATGTCACCATGTATGTCATGACTAATCTAGTGCGGGGAGGCCAAGGATGCTGTTAAAATCCCTTCATTGCACAAGGCTGCTTTCTCTGCTGAGGAACTAGCCAGTGAAAGACATCAATAGTGCAAACATGGAGAAATTCTGACCTAGATGAAATAACATTTGACATTTCACTCAGATGTAGTTTCCTGTTTTAGAATAGGGCTTAGATAACACTGACTCTAGAAGACTAGAGTGCAGAACCACACAGATACCCTTGCTTCCTAGTTTGGTGTTTTCATCATTAAAATGGCCTTTTAACATATATTTTATGGATTATTATTTAAAGTAAATATTACAATGAATAGAAAAACGTAAGTTTAGTACCCGACAATTAGCAGTCATCTAAGAAATGTAAAAAAAAATGAACACCAGGAACTAGGGGTTAGTGGGTGGAGAGGAATGGAATTTATGATGAGTGACTTCTGGGCATATCCTTCTTTCTAGCTTTTGAGCCCAGGTAACTATTTTTGAGAAAGCAGACACTGACACAGATCCGGAGGCCCACATACGTACTTTTTGTTCGTCTCGCTCTACAGCTGCATTGCATTTTTCTATTCTCCATTTTCTCATAAAGTCTCTGAGATAGCCAAACAGGGTTCCAATTCCATATCCCATGTAAGTGAAAACGAAAACATAGAGGGGTGGTTCAGAGTAGGGTTCAAAAATGTTTTTTTCCAAGAAACGAGGCTTTCTGTTCTGCTGAAAATACAAAAGAAAACTCATGATTAACAATGATGTTACAAATACATGACAATATTTATATTTTTCAACTTTTGAACTTAAACTTTTTTGATTTTTAAAATTTAAAGAACACATTTAACATTATTAAAGCTGCTTGGAAAAATTAAATTGATCATTGAAGGGGATAAGCAGAAATACAAATTTTATTTTACAACCTATAGTGAAATAATTGATTTAAGAAAAAGTTCTCAATAGACACTCAAACCATTGGGGAAAATGTCAATGAGGGAACAGGGTGATTTTACGATTCTAAAGTATGATTCCATAAACTCCTTCTTAATCAGTCATACACTTGGGGTCATTGCCTTAATGAGGTAATCAAAGTACATGACAAGAACAACCAGCTGCTCTGTGCTCTTAGTGTGGTGTGGTAAGCCATGCTGAGGGTCACCTGAGAAACATTCACCCAGAATACATAATGTTTAATAATAAAAAGAGGAAAAAACCCCTTTTTCCTTTAGGACTTAGTGCCACAGTGAAAAGTAGCCTTTCAACATCACTCTACTCTAATTACCATCTCATTGACTGTCTCATAGCAGCTTTGCCAATATTTGCTCAATGGACTAATGGATAAAATATTTTAGAGACTGATATTTTCAATATTATATTTATACTTTCATTATTTCATTAAATCGGTATAAGTTTATTTCCTGATTCCTCATTTTCTAATTACATGATCCATTAAAATGTTTTGAAGGGCTGGAGAGATGGCTCCGTGGTAAAAAGCACTGGCTGAGGGGATTTGAAGACATTTTCTGGCCCCAGTGGGCACTGCATGACACAGGTGCACTTACACACATGCAGGCAATATACTCATACACATAAAATAAAAATAATAAAATATTTTAAACAATGTTTTGAATACTGTGAAAGTATAGCTTTCAGTTATAAAAATGTTAAATGTCTGCTGATATTTAATACTTTACTTTGGCTTACATATGTATTTAAATGGCATAGTATTTTGGGCTATGTTAATTAGCTACACTGATCAGTGCTGCAACAGACTTCCAGATCTTATCACCTTCATTTCCTTTATATTGTTTAAAACGTGCATTTTGGAATTTTTGAGTGATTTTGTTTCTACAAGATTTTCCCAACTCACAAAACAGGTTAAAAATGATTTGTGGTTAAATATTTTGATTTCCATATTACTTGCTCTTAAAGAAAGGTCAAAAAATTTTGAAAAATGACATCTAGGGACTGGAGATATGGCTTAGTGGTTAAGCACTAGCTGTTCCTCTAGAGGACCCAGGTTTGATTCCCAGCACCCACATGGTGGCTAACAACCATCTATAACTCCAGTTCCAGGGGATCTGATACCCCTTCTGGCCTATCTATTCATGGGCATTTGCACACATGTGGTGCACTTACATATGTGCAAGCAAAATGTTCATACACATAAAAACAATAAATAAAATATTTACAAAAGAAAAATTGACATCTACTACTTGAAATGTTAGGCCCAAACCCAGAAAATATTATTAAATGTTGTTAAAATTCCATATCTCCTTATTTATCCACTGTTTCTCAATGCTTCCCTAGGCATTCAGTTGTAACACTGATAAACATTGTTTCTGCTTATTGTGCCTTCTCAAAACACTATCCAATACTCTAAAATAAGAAGGCAGCATGGCTTAATATAGGGCATTGAGTGAAAGATGAGCTAGAGCTCGTAACCTTGCTTGGTATTTACAGTATTAATCGGATGCTTACAATGAACAAGCAATGTGGCATTCAAAGGTGAAAAGACAGATCTTGCTCTTGGTTTCCTGACCTCCTTCTCTGTTCTCATACCGGTCATGAAAGATGTAGTACTATTGTACAATTGTAGTGTGAACATTTCGGGCCTTCTCCTTGGCTCTGTTCTGCACATGATCTCATTTTAGCACTCATGATGACCCCGGACCCTGTTGAGATCCACCTAAATATCATGGTGTTACATATTTGGCTTCTTTGCCAGATTTGGTCTGGCAAGGAGTGAAATTCACAGGAAGGAAGATACAGTGAAACTTTGAGACTGGTTGGGTATGAGTCCAAGGAAGAGGAAAAAGGAAAAGAAAACTTCCAAGCAGCAGCGTGGTATTGCTAAAGATTTGGAAAGAGGAAATCAGGAGGCTGCTTACTGGAAGAGAAAGTCTTCACAGGACAAGCCTAGTTAGATGTGGTGATTGTTCACCAGGTAGTTAGGGATAGGAGAAGAGAAAGGCCCTTATTAAAATGAAGGATATGGGACTCTACTAAAATGAGGTCCAGTGTAAGTTGTGGTTGAAGGTGAATATGATAAAGAGCAAGTCAGAAAGAAAAAAATAGGAATAGACTTGGCACCGAATTTGTTGGCGAAGTGCTATTCTGGGCACCACAGGGCAGATGTGTAAAGGGTTAGCTAGTTCAGGTGACCTCAGGCCATTGATTTAACTTGCTCACAAATGCACCTTTTTGGCTGATGTGAAGAGGGTGTCTAAATTGTGCAGGTGTATGTAAAGAAATAGACTTCAAGGATATTAAGACCAGGCAATGGTCTAGCAGTTTTTTTCCCCTTTTCTGCCTGTGTTTCCATCTCTAAACTTCACATGTGGGAAAATCAGGTTGGGCATTTCTCTTGAAATTCACGGACCATTTTTGTTTGACTGACTCTGAGGCAAACTTGCTCTGTACATAACAGATTTAGACACAGCCCTCAGTTGCTTCACAGGCCAGGCATATACCACAGTTGTTCGCCCCTATGACTTGTTTCAAAAGAATATTATAAAGAACTTTTCAGCAATGTCTATCAGTATCAAACAGGATCTGCTTTCACATCTCTCAGATAGCTTCACTTATTTTTAATGTAACACAGTATAACAAATTAAAAATTATTAATTCCTTGAGAATTTACTACATTTTGATCATATTCAGACCAACTTTCCCATCTCTACCCCTACTTACTATTTCTCCAAACCTCATGCCCTCTATTATTATTTTTTTTTCTGAGTTTCTGTCTCCAAATACTCTTCCATGTGGGTTTTCCCTTGGAATTTGTTCAACCTACCAGGTTCCACACCCTTAAATAAAGTAGCTATCCTTCTCCCAGTAGCTATCAATTGCTAATAGTTCCTTAGGCAAAGTTGGAACTTCTTGCCCATCTCCCGCTTCCAGGGTAGGATTTTGCCTGGGTGGAGATTGGATAGGTCTTGTGCATGCTATCATAATTTCTATGAATTTATATGTGCAATTGCCTTGTTGTCTGGAAAACATCATTTCCTTGCCGTTGTCCTCCAACTCCTGCTTTTATTATTTTTCTAGTCTGCTTCTACAATGGTCCCTGAGCCTTAGGAGGACGGGGTGTGATACAGGTGTTCCATTTACGGCTGAGAACTGTGTAGTCTCTTACTCTCTTCATGCTGACAAATTGTGGGTCTCTGTGTTAATTGCTATCTCCTGTAAGAAGAAGAAGCTTCTTTGGTTAGAGTTGAGAGATGTATTAATTTATGGGTATAACAATAAGTCATTAAGAGTTGGTTTAATTCTATGTCCATTTATCAGAATGATAGTATAGGTTGTCCCCTATGGAGTGTGACTTGTCTAGCCACAGTTTCTTGGCCCTGGTAACAGTGCCAGGTATGGATTTCATGTTGTAAGTTGGGTTTAAATCTAATCAGATGATTGGTTACTCCCATAACATTTGTGCCACTAACTTAAATTTTATTGCATAGAAAATGGGAGACCTTCACTGACAGAAAGCTCCCTGAGAAATGTTGCAAGGTGTCTCAAATGGGATAATATCTCACTGCATGGTCAGAAGTGGTTTCTAGGTGTAGGTGAGCTGTAGGCCAGCACTGATGGGAAGTGGGACAGAATGGCAGAGAAGATGTGTGGTAAGTGAGGATCCCTGGGGTCAAACCTAGGACCTCCCATCTACTCATTTGACGGCCTTGTGAAAGTCACTTAATTTCTCCAGCTAAGAAATTTTGTTGATTCCTTGTCTTGGGGCCCCAGACACCTTGGGAACCAAGGCTGCTCATTGATCCTTTTCATCTGCCCCATTCTTTGTCTTGGGGCCCCAGACACCTGGGGAACCAATACTGCTCCCTGATCCTTTTCATTAAGACCAAAGTAGTGTCTTCTCTGGGCCCCAGGAGCACTGCTTCTGGGCCTGGCCCTGCCCTCAGCTCCCTCTGTTTCCCTGGGCCTGACCACCCACCAGCCTCTTTCTGGGACTCAGGAGCTGACCTTTCTTCTTCCTGATCCTTTGCATCCAGACCAACCCAGCTCCTCAGTGCAGTCCCCAGGAGCCCTTGGGGCCTCTTCCAGCCCCATCTGCCACCAGGTGCCCTAAACCAGCATCTTTCCTGGGCCAGGCTCCCAGGCCAGTCCAACCCCCAAATTCCTGAAGCCAAAATCGTTCTTGGAGGGATCCAGACCTTAGGAGAAAGCCTGAAAATATCTGACCCTCACCTGAATTTGGCCTCTGTGGGAACTCCTGAAGACAAAAGAAATTTGGCCACTCCAATATAAAATCAAAAGAGAGAACCAGAAGCTTAGAGGAACTAGCTTTTCATGCCCGAAAAGTAAAGCACAAAGACACATAAAGTTCACAAAAAGAAGCAGACAGACCTAAACTTGAAGGTTTGAGGCCACACAAGAATCAGAAACTACAAAAGAAATTCACATGTAAAAAAAAAGAGAAAAAATAATACC